GAGATTGAAAAATCCATAAAACTGGCGCGCTATGTGCGCGATAGAATGTACGCTAACTGCAGCAAGTCTTGTCGCTATAATTATGGCCAACCCTGTAGATACATAAAAGATAAAAAGGATAAAGTCCTTGCGCGTTCATCTGAGTGGCGGACTTTAGCTGGAGGGATGATACTGTAGGAGGTACTGTAGAGCACCTAGCATCCCCTGAGGCCTGCCTGCGGCATGACCTCACTTAATTGCTGCGCTAAGCTGACCTCTCACTGGCTGCTCAACGAAACGAGATAAATCAAATGGAATTTATCCAGTAGTAGGAACTGCTACGTCAAGATGAATAACTTCTTAATTTCATAATAGTAGGCAAAAGTTTACCTTAAAAACCAGAATCTCGTGCTGTTAGGTGCACTTACATATCTTGCGATCTTCCAAAAGGAAAGTAATACGTTATACTGACATCAAATCACAGCGGAAGAAATAATATTTTCTCTGCTCATGTATCTAACCCATTGCGTACCGCGTGCTGCACCATGTGCAGCACGCTCATTCGTCGCTGTATGGCCGCGTGCTGCACATGGTGCAGCACGATGATTTTTCGCTCCATCTGGATTATTTTGCATCCTTTTCTGCTACAAATTTGCGAGCATATGTTTTCGAACACGGAGAACAACATAAGTACGTGGGACCTCGATCGCTGAAGGAGCACTTGGGTTATTGACCTCTTTCATGAAATACTTCAATTGTGATCTTCTTCATTTATTTTCAACGTTCATAAACACTCATAAAGGATTAAACAGGACACCGTTGATGATATGTGTGGAAACACATAATGCAAAAATATTGATCGCAGGTTGTTCATCCTGTATTCACTAATATTGTGTGGTTTCTAGCGTACGGAGCACCATTCGTCCGGGAAAGGTAGTTCGCCCTCGTCGAGATTGATCCAGTTCAAGTACTTTGCGATAGCATAACGATCGGCTTCTCTTACAATCAAATCAACGAGATGGTCTGTGAAAAATCGCCGGAAAAATCTGATTGGGTACTGGTAAAATAGAACATCTTCATCCAGTACACCACCGAAACCTTGGAAGTCAAAATTGTTCTGCCTGCTGATATTTGGGGTCCATTGAATCCTCCATCGTTTGTATCTGAGCCTTCTTCGCTTGATTCCCAATCGGACTCATCACTTTAATGATTCACGCGGACAAACATATCTTCAGGGGTATCGGGGCCCTGTCCCATCACTTCGTTATCATTTTCAATCAGAAGTTCATCAAACGATCTATTTCGCGTCCATCATTGCCTATTTGGAACAGCTACCATAAATTAAGCGTAGTTTCCCAAAAAAAATAGCCTGGAGAAGCGAAACGACGTACGTTGAGTTTATACTTCGCTGCGGGCGCGAGAAATACCGCTCTGCGTGGCCGCGTGCTGCACCATGTGCAGCACGCCGGCGAGGTTGCGAAATATGGCTCGGGCACACGCGGCAGCCAGCGAAAAAACGCCGCGGTACGCAATGGGTTAGCCAGGCAGGAGGTGGTGTAGCGACATGTGGCACGCTTACCACTCGTGCTGTCCTGGGTTCAAATCCCGGTCGTCTCCCGCTTAGGCCAACCAATCCTTCTACCTCCCCGCTTACAGTAACTCGGTACAGATTCGTCTGGGAGAATGAGGACCCTAAATTGTAGATCGACTGGCCCCGCAAGTCATTCTATAGGCCACATTGCATTCAATAAGCCACTACGATTCTGAATGGAAGTGGAACATTCCGCGATTCTGACTACTTAGGGTTTCTTTTCAATTTCTCTAGATTTCCTTCTGCGGCTAGGTTAAGCAAATTTCACATATACGTAGCAGGTATCAGCTTTCAAGCGATATAGGAACTTACAGCTATAGCCCCTTTACATGTCTCCAAGTTTTGAATGAGATGACCCAATGCTAACTAGTCAGTTGGGTTTTCGCATGCACACAGCTATCCAGGAGCTGCCCGTAGTTTTCTAATTACAAACATTAGCAGACAAACGTGATACGCAAATAAACAGATCCTACGAGGGAACGTCATGGAGATATCAGTCATCGTACGACCCTCCCTTGAAAAGAAGTCAATACGACCTATCCCTCTTATTTACGGTCTG